CCCCCGCCCCAGGCCGCCAGCCCTGCCCCGGCCACACACCCGCCACATGGATGTGACCTGCTCCCTCTGTCCACTGTGAAACCGCCTGGAGATGGCCGGACAACAAAGCCACAGAGGCACAGAACCTGGGGGAAAAACCTGGTGTGGAGAGCTCTCTATTGAACACAGAGTCCCAGCGCCTGCCCTGCTCTCCCGCCCGCTCCAGGGCCTCTCTGTCCCCCATTCCTTGGCCTTGGGCCCCGGCTCATTCCACTCGAGGTCCTCCTCGGGCGCCCGTCATCACGGGGGACGGCCGCCGCCACGCTGCCCGCTCCAGGGCCGCGAGTCCAGTCCGCGGAGAGCCCTGCCCAGCTGCGGCCGGCCTGGGGGCCTCTTGGCCCGGGCGTGCCCTGGCTTTCCTGCCCGGAAGTGCCTGCTCCAGCCCCAGCCGCCTCATGGCTCCAGCTCCCGGGAGAGGCGGGAGAGCTCCCGCTGGTTGTTGATGACCTTCAGCTGCTGGACATAAGCCCAGGTGCTGGCCGGACTGCGGGTGCCCAGGGACTGCTCGGAGCCTGCGGGGGAGGGGGGGCAGGACAGGGGTCAGGGGGGGCAGCCCTGCCACTCTGTAGAGCCCATCCCTTCCCCGTCAAGGAGCAAATCAGCCTTGCCGCCCTCCACCCCCTACGCTGCCACTTCCCACAGCCGAGCTAGAAGACTGTCTAGCCCTCCAGTCTGGAGGAGTGTGGTGGAGAGCTCAGACTCTGAAAAACAGGCCCCCGAGATTACATACTGCATAATACCCCTTTTTACTAAATTCAAAAACAACTACAACTCAAGACTTTTGTTGTCATAATACGCGTATGAAGCGTTTTAAAGCTGTAGGTGTATGTATGTAAGTCCATATAAATATATCTACATCAACATATTATAGCGGCCCAGGAGGAGGGAAGAGTGCGTGGGGAGAGGAGGCTCTTGTCAATGTGCCCCTACTTGGCTTGGGTCCAGCGGTGTTCGGTGGATTATCACCATCGGTACATACGTAAAACAGAGGGCCAGGGGTGACAGCGTCGGCTGAAGCGTGGACTACGATTAATCCGCTTCATGCGACCGAAGGCCAATTAAACAAAATCAGGTCTGGAGTAAGAGTGCCTGGGTCCCAGCTCTGTCATCTGTCCCAGCCTTCCACAGCTACTCCAGGGCTCGAGCCTGCTTGTGCGTCTTTAAGCTGGGAGAACATTCTAGCTCCCTCAGAGAGGTGTCGTGAAGAGGCCACAGCATCCTGTATGCAGGTGGCGGAAAGCGCCAGCCGTGGCTGTGCTGTGGGCCCCCAGCCCTGCCCGACTTACACGTGGATGTCCTCGCGGCCTGGCTGTCCTCGTGGAGGTGGGATACGCGGCTTCTGAGCGGCGACAGCGGCACTGGGCGGGGCGAGAGGCGGGAGTCAGAGCCTGGCAGGGCAGGGGTGGGGGCGCTTCTGGGGGGGCGGGGGGCCTCTCACCGTTGCTGTGGCTTCGGCAGCAGTGCAGCATCCGGACAGCTCTGGCCAGCATTCTCTGTGGGCAAAGTAAGGACAGAAGAGCAGGCCTGAGGGGCAGGACCCCGGCGTGGCCCGTGGGGCAGCTGGGAAGCAAGCCCCCTTGGAGTGGGGGCGCTCCTAGGGACTAGACGGGGCCGTGTCTGCTTTGCCCCACACGCCCAGGGGGGACCGGGTGGCGGGAGAAAGACCAGAGATCAGGGAGGGCTTAGGGCTCAGCCTGCCGGGTGAGATAATGAAGGCTGTCTTCCCCAGCACGCAAGGGAGTGACTGCTTTAAGAGAAGTATTCATATTTGTGTTATTAATGACAACTTTCGGTCATCTCCCGCCCCCACTCGCTTGCAAGGACACAGTCATATCTCTAACCCACTCTAGGGGCAGACGCCCACTCTCCTTGAACTCACCATCTTCTCAAAGTTGATGAGATTCTCTACCAGTGTGTGGTTTCCTTCATGGATGAAGGTCATGTCTGCAGAGAGATGGGTTTTGGGTTTTTTTTTTAAAGATTTTATTTATTTATTTGACAGAGAGAGACACAGCGAGAGAGGGAACACAAGCAGGGGGAGTGGGAGAGGGAGAAGCAGG